TTAAAAAAGGGGGAAACGGTTGGAAAACCTTTAATCTATATAAGAACTTTTTTTTGAGGTGGCCCAGCTGCTTGTACTTAGCGAGTTGAGTGGGCAAGAGTAGTTTCAAGAAAACTTATTCTTCAGCATAAACATACATTTCCTTCCTGGAATATCATGGTGAAGAAAGGACTTTCCAATTCCAGTATAAGCTTAGAATGGTGGCAGAAAATTATGGTAATTTTGCAGTTTCAATGGAAAAACATTCTTATACCACAAAAGTGAATTTTTGCTATAGGTTAAGTTTCCTTGCTATCCTGCACTTCCTTTTACAGAAGAAAAGTGGGTACTTGAGCAATTAACCCATATGGAGCCAGGAAGAATTTCTCATTTCTCTAAAGTCAATTAGGGATTTTCTGTTTCTGTAAAGGATGAGGACTACATGTCCATTTCTCAGAAAGATAGAGGGATGATCACTGAGGATGGATATGGTTAGGAATTCAACAATAATGACGTACAAAAATGCCATGTACTTTCAACAGCCAAATAAAACAGTGACATTTAGACTTTAATTCTTTGCAATTTGATTTTGTGTACAGCATGGCTAACTTTAATATATAACTAATGGTTTTTAGCTCCACTTCATCTTCAGCCTACATCTATAGTCCTTCTTCAATCCTCCTCATCTTTAGTCAAACAATTTCTGTGGCACTCTGCTCCACGCTTTGGGTAGATATATTTCTTTGAATTTTCCTCAATAGTTAGAAGACTTCATTTATGAAGTGACCCCAAAAGCTTGCGGATAACAAAATGGAAAAGTAAGCATTTAGTCAGAGACAATGAATTCCACTTTGGTCGTGTAAGAGAGTACGTGAACCTGCCAGAAATTATAATAGACAGAAGTAAGCCATTTTCAAAACATTGGCCCTTTTCAAATATTCAGTTTAGTTTATGCAAGTTTATTTTATAAAAAGAAGATAGGGCCAATTTTCCTTTCTTCTGAACCAAATGAATGACTCAAATTATATCAATAGCTGTCTCATTCTTTACACCACCCATTTATATCTTCCTGGGGTATCAAAAGTAATAGAGGAAAGAACATGGGTTTTCTAGACAGAGAGATCTGACAGAAATTTTACTCTATCCTAGTAGGAAAGTTATTTAGTTTTAATAAGTTCAAGTGATCGTGCCTATAATTAGGGTAAGAGTGACCACTAGGATTTTTAAATATATTTCTAAATATTTTTGTAAAATATATCCATACACACATATGATTGTTATATATTATTTATACATATAGAAATTGTTTTATACATACACACAAATAAAATGAAATCTAAGTCACGGGGCTTGGCACAGGCAAGGCACTACCTAAACTAGAATTTGTTCAATGTGGCTCCTGAATCAAATGACAATTTGTTAACCAGAGTCTTGTCCTCAAGTCATGAGAACTGTTATTTCTCATCTCATTTGGCCCTCAGGATTTATGTATACACTGAATGAGAAGACACGAATGACCAGCTCCTGCATTAGAATGCTAAGCCTATCACTTGAGACACTTACCAAATGCTATTTCTGGTTATTTAGGTTAGAAAGGAAATAAAGATGTCAGAGATTATCATTGTATATTATTTTAGTAATTACTATAAAAAACAATTAACCCTCATTTTCCCTCAATTCAGAAAGAAATACGCTTCATAAAATATGCACATATCAAAGATAACTACCCTGAACAGAACACCAAGTTATTTATATAGATACATCAAATGCTTTTTAAAAGACCTTACATGACTTTTAAAAGGCTTCTTTAGAAAATATAAGAAGTAAATTGGGAAATAAGCAAATACATTAAAAAGCTCATATTGTTTCACATCAACAAATGAACTAAATATTTTTAAAAGCAGAGAATAAATCTCTTATTTTATGAAACCATAAAATGAGGTTTTGCTTGTGAGTCATCTTCTACAGACCTAAGTAAAAAAATATTTGGGACATACATTTGAAATGATGATGTGGTTCAGTCTTTAAATGAAAAAAAAAGTCAACTATTTATTTTGTTGCATTGTCATATATCAAAGTCACATGAAATGTGATTACAATTCAGAAATATCAGTGCTGAAACATTACTTGTTACTTTAAAATATTCAGAGTAAGCTTATAGTTTTTATCTTATTATTACATATTTTTGAAAATTAATGATAATGGAGATGGGGTCACTATAACAACAATTTATTAGTTAAATTGAATTAATGTATGTGCTCTAATTAAATATGCTAAAAAGTCTTTGATTTCCTAAAATGTACATTACTCATGACAGCATTTGGAAATTTTAAATTTCAAAAACTTAGTCCAATGATTTAAAAATACATGATAAATATGACAATAACTCTATCCACAAACAAATTAATTTCATTTTACCTATTTTTATTTTAGTTCTTCATTAAAGTTTCGACTAAAATAGAAAATCACAGTGCCTACTACATAGTTAGTGAACACAAAAACTAATTTTAACTATTTCCTAAAATATTAATACAGTTCTGTAATATTTTAATGACCTTTCTGAACATTCTAAGCAACTCCTGTAGGAAAGCAAAATTAATACATAGTGTGGTTAAATTTTTCATAATTTATTTTGATTGAAAAATATCAGTGCATATATAGAGTTGATTTTATTAACAATCTATTTTTCAAAAATTCTTGGAAATCTTTTTTATTGTGTAAATTTAAGACGTACATGTTTTCATATACATATACCTAGTGAAGTGTAACGATCTACTTTTAAAGTCTACAATTAATGTTTACTTATAATCAAATATGATTAATTTAGCCAGTTGGCTCCTGGCAGTATCTCCAGTAATAGAAAATTATCATAAACCAATATATCTTGATTGCAACAGCCTGTACCTTTATTGTCTGTTCAGATTCTTTTCACATCAGGTCTATAATGAAAAGCTAAGTCACAAATAGAGGTATTAGAAGACACACAAAGGGGCCACTGTTCCCTGACACAAATCAAATTTTCAATAACTCATAGGTAATTTGAGGACTTCCCTTATATAATCCCCCAACAAACAATTAAATTCCATAGATTTTTCATTTAACAGTCCAGTAAGGGTTTCTTAATATACATAACCCATAAAATAAATTAAAAGTAAATCGAAGCATATGTTTAAAGTCCTTGATTCATGAAGAAACCAGTTAGAAACGCTGAAGCCTGAATTAATGTCAAATATTTATACTGTTGGGTTTGGCAACAGAGGTGGGTTCTCAGGAGACAGCACATTCCAAATGATGTTTTCTACTCTCCTCTCAATCCCATTCATAAAATGCCTTTCTGTTACACAGTAGGATCACTGTCCGATTAATAAACACAAGCTGATGTTTAATGTTAACTGGTAGTACATAGAGACGAGAATTATCACTCATCTTTACTTAAAAACAAAACTTAAGCAAGATGTTTAAGCAGAGGTTACTTCTGCACCGGAGTCCTTTGCATTTCTCAAAGGAAACAAACCTAAGAATGTGACTGAAATGGGGAATCGGAGAACAAATGGGCACATAACACAAGAAAGCTCAGAGGGGGCTGTCTCCAAAACAGAGTAAACCAGTTGTGTGGACAGTGATGCTGGCATAGCTCAGAGATACGCCAAGCCCCGATGTGTTTGCTATTTTCTGCTGATACTGGGAGCCTAACTGAAGAAACAGGACTTTGAGGAGCCTAACATTGGCTTCTCTTTCTTTAATGCGCCCTTAACCAAGCGGAATTCGCTCTATGCCGACTCCAGTGGGAAGCCTTCAACCCCGAATTTGACCTATCTGCCTTAAATCCGTGAGTATTTCACCGCAATCTCAAACCCCGGATGCCAAGAGAGGAGATCAATGCCAACACGAGATTGCATGCCCCTCTGACTTTTGTTTGCTTGGGTTTTCATTTTAGACAAACACTCTTATCCTCATTACAGAGCCTAGACAGATTGCGAATAGCCCGATCCCCTCATCAAGACAGCCCCAATCACAGCCACACAGAGCGCAAAGAAACCCAACTCTGTTCCCAGGGTCTTGTCACTGAGCCGCATCTCCGCGGGTGGCCGCCTAGACCTTCCCTTACGTTGAACTGTTTGTGCGCGGAGCAAGGGGAAAAGCATCTCTTTCAATTCCTCCCGAGGCCACTCTTTCTTTATGGACCCACCTGCATGGGCGCTTCGTGTCTCATTGTTGACAAATGTCCTTTCTCTCTGGCTAGGACAGCACTGGTCCGGGCTTCCGGTCAAACGTGCACAGTCCGCGCGCTCCCCGCTCCACACTCAGCACTGTTGGGGTTCGCTAACCGGCTCCAACATCAGCACCGGAGCTGTCCTCTCCTGGCGCCGCACACGCGTACTGCCGGGGAGCCCCGTGCGCTCCTGGGAGCTGTAGTTTCGCCCTGCGGGGCTTCCCAGCAAACAGGCGAGCGGTGAACTACACCTCCCGGCAAGCAAGCAAACTCTTAAACAGGCTTGATCCGCCAGTCCGGCTCGGCCGCGGAGCCTCCCTACTCCTTTCGAAATGCTCCTGGGTTACCTCTGCCAGTCTCCCCTGCCCTCTTCCTCGCCAGGGGCAGGCGAATGTGACCCCAGCTTATCTCAGCTGGAGATTTTTCTTTGCTAACTATCGCCTTCGGGAGTAGACTGTGATTTCCTGATTAGAAAACAACACTACCTTGTGCTAATTTCCAATGCAAACGAAGCCAGAGCTGGTCTCTGGGACTCTCCGCCCTACCCCCTCCCCATCTGAATCGGGAAAGTTTCTACGTTTCCTTAGGCAGAGTGGGGCAGTTTTACAGTCTCATTCAGCAAACGTGGGGGGAGAAAGACGATGAATGGTACACACATAAGGAAAGTGGTTTATCCGTGGTTTATCCGCATAATTGCATTGAGAAGTCGCGCGCGCGTACACAGTCACACACACAACCCGCAAACCAAAGTGCGTGAAAGCGAGATTTCTGGCTAAGCACCCGCAAGGAACTGCCTTCGCCTGCTTACCTTTCCATACAGCTCCATTACAACTCGAGGTTCGGAAATTCTCAAGTGACCTCGCTACAAAGGAGGTTAGGGCTCTACGTAGGAAGCGGGGCTAAAATGAAAAGGCACAACACAATAGAAGGGGTAGGGGTGGCGTCTGGCGGAGAGAAAAAGGAGGGACGTGGAGAAGACAGCTGATTTCGATGGAGGGCTTCTTTCCTCTAGAGGGAAAATGTGGAGTCTTCAAGCGGCAGCTGCAGAGAAAAGACTGAGTCTCTTAGGAAGTGCCAGGGGCGCGATAGCGCTGGGCAGCCCCTCCCCAAGCCCTCCCCCAGGCACCTTCCGCCGTCATTAGCGCGCACACACAGCCGCTGGCCGCGGGCTGCAGAGCTGAGAGGGCACTGGGTTATTTACCCAGAGCAAGCCACATAAAATGAACACATTCATCACTGGAACCCAAAAGCATCGTCACAGAATGAGATGGGAGACCTCTATCAAGTTATCCTGTCCTTTAACACAAAGTCATTCCTTATATTACAACTATACTCCTCCTAGATTAGTTCAAAAAAATGGTTTTGAAATTAGGAACTGTACTTTTGTTGGGCTTATCCTTTTCCTGTCAGTTGACTGATAGGTTTGACTATCCATGTGCTCCGTAACTATCTAGAGACAGCGCTCTCTACTTAAAAGTAAATGTTGATCATCCAGCAAATGAGCCCTGCCTTGGCATGAAGTCAAAATTATAATGGAGACAGAGTGAAAAAGGAATGATTGTGATATTGGCATGGAGGTATGAAAGGAAGAACTGGAATCAGCTTTAAACTTCGTTGTAGCAGTAGAACAGAGGTTCTGAAACTTAAATGTACTTGAAAATCTGTTGAGACGGAGGTTAAAGTTAAAATTTTTAAGCCACAGGTAGAGATTGATTCACTAGATCTTTTGAGAGGTCTGGAAATTAGCATTTTAAATAAACACCCCAGAAATTCTGATGCAAGTGGTTCCCTTGCTATAATCTGAGAAACACTGTCTTAAACGAATCTATGCGTAACACTTTTCCAAAGATGCAAGCCTCAAAAGTGTCATGGTATGGACTCAATAATGCAACAGTCTCATATTGGGAACCTACAATATTCAATATTTCCATAATTTTAGTTGATTGTATTATTTAACAACTCTATAATCTGTCTTCTAATCTTGCAATTAGTGAGAATGTAATGCAATATCACCTAGGTAATTAGTTTTTATAACTATTCGGAAAATACATTTAAGCCAGGTGTGGCGGAGTGTGCCTGCAGTTATAGTTACCCGAAAGGCTGAGTCAGGAGGATCATATGAACCTAGAAATTCGAGGCCAGTCTAGGCAACATAGTGAGACACCCCCATCTGAAAAAAAAAAAAAAAAGACATACATTTAAAAATATAAACTTCATAGTTGAGAATTGTTTGATACTTAGAGAAGTTTCATGTAAATTAGCTAATAACAAAATGGAAAGTTAAAAGGAAATCCAATATCAATATGTATCACAGAAGCACCTTATTAGAAGTATGACTTCTGCAATTTTAAAAATTAAGATGTATCTAAAGATGCATCTCTTTAAAAATTGTTTTCAAGAGAAATGCCAACAAAATAATCCTGACATTTACATGTATATAATTGTTTGGCATTTAATAATATTTGCTCAGCTACTTAGAGCCTGCCTTTCATCAGAACAACTTGCTGTGTTTTTTGTACTATCATCACTATCTGAAATTCTCAGAATTCAGTCTGATATAGAACATATTTAAACATTATAAATATTTACCTTGCAAAATTACTATTCTTTGAGAAGTTTATGCCTTCTCAACATTTCACTAAAATTATACACATCGTCAGATTTTTTAGTATGTCTTTTATTTGTGGAAGAACCCATGAAAATTTAGTTTAAAGCTGGAGTTTTTAAAAACACGTTGGGGGGAACTTAATTCTGTCCTGTGTATAGTGCCTTAGCTGAGAATTCAAGGTGTGCAAAGAGGAAAAAAAATCTAGTCAGGAGTCAGATAAACCAAGAAAAGTGGACTGAAGCTGACTATCTAAAATCAGAGCAGGAGCAGAGTAGCTTTGCTTGAAATCAGGTCACCATCCATGAATTTCATTCCTAAGGTCATTAAATGGCTGCTTGAGCTCCAGCTCTTACATCCACATTCCAGCTAGCAGGAAGGAGGAAAGGTGAAGGGTATTTCTCCATCACTTTATGTATACCACTGCTCTTATATTCCAGTTCCTTAAACTTAATCTTATGACCATACCTTTTACAAAGGAGGTTGAAAAATGTGATCTTTATTCTGAGTGGACATGTGCCCAGGTGAAAATCACAAATTCCGTTACAAACAAGTTTTCACTGTGTCGACCAGGCTGGTCTCAAACTCCTGGCCTCAAGTGATCCTCCTGCCTCGGCCTTCCAAAGTACTGGGATTATAGGCATGAGCCACCGCCCCTGGCCCTTCCATAGCATTTTTAAAAGACTAGTACACTAAGAAGGGATCTTACAAATAATGTAGCTCATTTCTTCCACTTTGTGAGTACAAAATTAGATCCCATAAAAGTGAAATAACCTACCTAAAGCCCCACAAGTCATCCAGTGCTGTTACAAATATTGGAAAAAGACAACTATTTTGAGAGTATATTGCAATTTACTAATATAATCACATTTTAAGTGTATCAACTATTTTCATTATCATTAGGTTTATCTATTATAATTTAAAATGAGGAGGGTCAAAAAGACAAGACACCATCTTCTTCCTTAAGGGGACTAGAAACTAATTCTGGAGACCAGATAGATAAATTGGTAACGTGACAATAATAAAAGACATCAGTGGCAGAACAGTGCCTGATATCCACTCTTATCAGTAACTGCTTTAAAGACTTATAGAAAAGAGTAATCAGATCAATGATACTCTCCGGGAAAGTACATTGTACCCCTAAATATGTTCAAAAAGATCATCTGATTATAAATGTAGAATAAAAGACATAGACTAGAAGATCTTCAAAGGAACCTAAAGATCATTTTGTTCTTCTTTCTTAATTTGCAGATAAAGAAATAAAGACCCAAAGGTGAGTAATGACTCACATAGCATCACACTAATTACCATCAGAGACAGAACTAATATACAATTCATGTGACTTCCAGTCCAGAGTTCTTTGTAAATATATAATATTTCAACAATCACTACTTTGGATGTGAGCACTTATTTGCTGTCTCATAACTTGACTATACTTTTACTAAGAAATCATTAAAATTACCAAACATTAAAGTATAAGTCAAATACCTCATTCAGAAAGATATGCAATCTGATAGTTATCTCTCCTTTGCTAGTTGAGAAGCAGGGTATAAGATCTAAGGATAATTGATTATACTTTCTTCTTCAAATAAGGTGTTGGAAAATATTTTAAATTTTATTATTTAAAAATTTCAACATATTAATTAAGCTATAGAATCAAAGTTTTATTATTTTGCTAATTAAAATTAAATTTAACACTACTATCCACATGTTAAGATGGTCATAAAATCCAGTATCAACTGATTTAGCAGAAGTAACATAGGAGTTTGTCTCTTCTTTCACCTTAGATGGCACAAGGACCCTGAAGCATAGGCTGGTTGGGAGAATGGTAGATGCCAGGTATCTCTCTCATCTTTGATGGTTGCTAATACGGCTATTTTCAGGTCAACGTGGCTCATTTGCATGCAGGTAGCTCCATTCTCCTCATGCGAAGCTAAGCCACAGAGATCCTGATCGAAGTCCCAAGACCACAGGCACATAGTGTATCAGTTAGTTTTGCTATGCAACAAGCAACCTCAAAACTTAGTAATTTAAACAACCACATTTTTAGTTCATGATTCTGTGGGTTGACAATTGGGCCTGGGCTTTCCCAAGCAGCTCTTTCTGCCTTGATTTGTGTCATGTATGCATCTGTATACAGCTAGAAGTCAGTGAAACAGCTCTGCTTCTTGCAGATTATCTGGCTGTTGGCTGGGGAAAAGGACAGGAACAGTTATATATGTCTCTGATCTTCCAGCAGGGTACCTCAGGTTTGCATACTTGGCAGCTTTGTAAGGTTACATGAGAAAAATCAGAGACATACAAGGCCTCTTAGAGCCTAGATTCAGAACCAGCATAGCAAAATTTCTGCTGCATTATATTGGCCAGAAGACGTCATAACTCAGCTCAGATTCAAAAGATGGAACAATAGACTTCAATTCTTGATGGAGGAAGCTTCAAAATCACATTTAAAAAAAGACTTGAATACAGGAAGGTATGGAGAATGTGACCACTGTTGCAACCTACCGCATCTAGGCAAGCATCCCCATGGAGGCTCTACAATTTCAGAGGCTGTGCATTCTGATGCGCACCCGCCTCTGCTTCTGAAAGCCATAAATCTCACCACCTTCCTGGTTTCAGGGATTCTATCAACCTCGTAGGGCACCTCTTTAATCACAGTACATCTGCTGATTAATTTTCTCATTGAGAAATACAGTTTAATTATTTACGTGGACCTAAACCTTTAGTAGCAAAGATGTATATGGGAAGTTCCCTCCAGCATAACATTCATAGTGGATTGCTTCTCTTTCTGGCTGTTAGCTACATCAGGAAGGTAAGTCTTCCTGGACAGAAGGATCAGAAGCCTGGTCATCATTACTGCAAAAAGGGAATATCTTTCATTCTTCCATGAACTCCCTACAGAAAACCAACCAACCAACCAAACAAACAAAAAACAAAAAAGAAAAAACAAAAATGACTCCGTCATTTCTCAATAGCCATTCTGTCACAGCACATTTTCATTTAATCTTCTTGGCACAAAACTCATAAGAAACTTGAGTTAGAATTATCAGTCATTCTCAAAACAAATTTTTGTAAGCACTATTTTTTCCACAAAGCATTATCTGTGTCAAATAAATATGACCACTCACAACTTATATTTTTTCTATCTGTTCCTTTAGCTTGTTTATAGTCTGAGTATATATGTGTTTCTTAGAGAAGGACAGCATATCATTATAAAGCACTCATTTAATTCTAGTTCAAACAATTATAGTTGAAGTACACTTTTCTTTATGTAGTCATGATTTTTGGAACATGCATTTTCTTGATTTATTAGGTAATGAACCCTACATAAAAAATAGTTTTCCTTTATAGTAACAAAAGCCTCTTCATATAGAAGCTTATTAAACTCTTAATAGTCACACTAAACACAAATTCCCTAGTACCATAGATGAATATCATGTCTTTAAGAAGGCCAGAGTAGAAGGA